TCAAAATCGAGCAGGCAGGCAGAAAGAAAGAATAAAGAAAGAAAAAAGAAAGAAAAAAGAAAGAAAGAAATATGTAAAATGAGATAATAGAAAGAGAGACAAGGAAAGGTGAGAGATGGAAATGAGAGACAAGAAAAGGAGAGAGATGGAAATGAGAGACAAGAAAAGGAGAGAGATGGAAATGAGAGACAAGAAAAGGAGAGAGATGGAAATGAGAGACAAGAAAAGGAGAGAGATGGAAATGAGAGACAAGGAAAAGAGAGAGATGGAAATGAGAGACAAGAAAAGGAGAGAGACAAGAAAAGGAGAGAGACAAGAAAAGGAGAGAGACAAGAAAAGGAGAGAGATGGAAATGAGAGAGACAAGAAAAGGAGAGAGACAAGAAAAGGAGAGAGACAAGAAAAGGAGAGAGACAAGAAAAGGAGAGAGACAAAAAGAAAAGGAGATAGACAAGAAAAGGAGAGATGGAAGGAAGGAGAGAGATGGAAATGAGAGACAAGAAAAGGAGAGAGACAAGAAAAGGACAAGAAAGGAGAAGAGGAGAGAGACAAGAAAAGGAGAGAGATGGAAATGAGAGACAAGAAAAGGAGAGAGACAAGAAAAGGAGAGAGACAAGAAAAGGAGAGAGACAAGAAAAGGAGAGAGACAAGAAAAGGAGAGAGACAAGAAAAGGAGAGAGATGGAAATGAGAGACAAGAAAAGGAGAGAGACAAGAAAAGATGAGAGACAAGGAAAGGAGAGAGATGGAAAGGAGAGACAATGAAAGGAGAGAGATGGAAATGAGAGACAAGAAAAGGAGAGAGACAAGAAAAGAGAGACAAGAGAACAAGGAAAGGAGAGAGACAAGGAAAAGGAGAGACAAGAAAAGGAGAGAGATGGAAAGGAGACAAGACAAGAAAGGAGAGATGGAAATGAGAGACAAGGAAAGGAGAGAGATGGAAATGAGAGACAAGGAAAGGAGAGAGATGGAAATGAGAGACAAGGAGAGATGGAGAGACAAGGAAAGAGAGACAAGAAAAAGACAAGAAAAGGAGAGAGACAAGAAAAGGAGAGAGACAAGAAAAGGAGAGAGACAAGAAAAGGAGAGAGACAAGAAAAGGAGAGAGACTGGAAAAGGAGAGAGATGGAAATGAGAAAAAAGAGGGGAGAGATGAAAATGAGAAAAGGAGAGAGATAAAAATGGGAGAAAAGACGAGAGAAATGAAAATGAAGAAAAAACTTGGGTCTCTGATTTCCAATTCCAAACTATTATCTATTAAATTTTATATGCACATCCAAGCTTACAGCACCTGGTATTCCCAAGCTGTCACGCATTTATATACTGACCAGGCTCAACATTGCTTAATTTCAGTGATCTTAAAACCAGTGTTTCAATGTGAGCTGGCTGTAAGGAGAAAGAGAAATGAAAGAAAAAAAAATGAAAGCAAGTCAAAAAGAGAGAGAAACCAGGTAAAAAAAAAAGATAAGACTGAAAAGTGAAGAGACAAGAGAGGAGAAAAAAAGAGAAGGAATTACAAAGAATGAAAGTAGTAGTAAAAATGATGAAAGAAAGAAAGTAAAGAAAGAAAAAGAAAGAAAAGAAAGAAAAAGAAAGAAAAGAAAGAAAGAAAGAAAAGAAAGAAAGAAAGAAAGAAAGAAAGGAAAGAAAGAAAAGAAAGAAAAGAAAGAAAGAAAGAAAGAAAAGAAAGAAAGAAAGAAAGAAAGAAAGAAAGGAAAGAAAGGAAAGAAAGGAAAGAAAGAAAGAAAAGAAAGAAAGAAAAGAAAGAAAGAAAAGAAAGAAGAAAGAAAGAAAAAAGAAAGAAAGAAAAAGAAAGTAAGAAAGAAAAAGTAAGTAAGAAAGAAAGAAAATTAAGAAAGAAAGAAAGAAAAAGTAAGAAAGAAAGAAAAAGTAAGAAAGAAAGAAAAAGTAAAAAAGAAAGAAAAAGTAAAAAAGAAAGAAAGGAAAGAAAGAAAGAGGTAAGGATTGATGAACAAAGAATAAAAAATGGAGAAAAGGGAAGTCCAAAGAAAAAAAACTGAAAAAAACAAGAACAAAAAAAGAGGGAAAATACAAAGATTGTAGGGAAGAAATAAAAAGAAGCAAGGAGAAAGAGACTAAAAAAGTAAAGGATATGTGAGAGTGGAAATAGTAAAAAAGAGGAAGAAGTGAAAGGTAATTAGGAGAAAAATAATGTAGAAAGAAGGAAAAGATAATGTAAAAAGAGAAAATGGAGTACATAATGCTAAAAAAAAAAAAGAAAGAAAGTCATGAAAGAAACAAAACAAAAAATAAAAAATGTATAAAAACAAAAGATAAAATAGCAAGAAAGAAAACCACAGATCAATTCAAAATGGAGAAAGGATGACTACTTGTCCAAAACCAATCAGAAATGTAATAACAATTATGAGTGTATGAAAGTTTGTTTTTTGTCGTTTGTTTTTCCCCAAGGATGAAAGAAAAAAAGGAAAAAAAAAAAATTATAGAAAGGTGATATCCTGAAAATCATCCAATCTTGATAATTTTGATTAAAGAATTATCTGGTACTGGCTAAAAATGATGTCAGACTCTAATAATAACAAGAGAAACTAATGTAAAAAAAAAAGACAGTATAGAAAAGGCAACCCCTCCCAGAGAAGGGAAAGAGAAATGTAAGTGTATGTGTGTATATATATATATATATATATATATATTTATTGTATATACTTGTGTAACGCACATTTTTTTATTTCTAATACAGCTGTATTTTTTGACTATAGTAAATGGATATATAATTTGGTCAACAGCATAGCCAGGTCAGAGTGAGCAATACATAAGCTAACTTTATATCTCATGTATTAAGCAACCCCCTTACACTTAGCTCCAAAATTAGGTCTTCAAAATTCACATGATATCTTAGTATATTGAAGAAAAACAAAAACTGTTGGTATAACCAACAGACAACTTGGCAAATCCTCTACATCTATGCAGATACAGTCTTGAAAAAAGGTGACAATACCAAAAAAAGAAAGAGAGAAAAGCCTGGAAGCAAACATACCTATGCAGTAAAATAAAGTGGTCAATGCCTAAAGTGAGCAAAAAACATTTATCAACATTAAATCCTATGAAAAGACAACCCTAGTCATGAATTGAGTTTATATAAATCACAATCTTCAGAAGACTTAAAAATATATATATATATATATATATATATATAGTTTATATATATATAAAATGTCTTAAAATGTTTAAATATATATATATATACACAAAGAATGTATAAATGTAAAATATATATATATATATAAAGAATGATAAACATAAAAATGCTTAATATATATATAAATATAGGGTCACAAACATCACATCTATCCAATATAAATATATATATATACACTCTGATAACATAATTTTTTAAAATATATATACATATATATATATATAAATAATTATACATATATATTTATTTAATATATATATATATATATATATATATATATATATATATATATATATATACACAAAGAATGTATAAACATAAAATGTCTTAAAATATATATATATATATATATATATAAAGAATGTATAAACATAAAAAAAATATATATATATATATATATATACATAAAGAATGTATAAAATAAAAATATATATATATATATATATATATATATATATATATAAAAAATATATATATATAAAATATATATATATAAAAATATATATATATATATATAAAATAAAATATATATATATAAAATATATATATATATATATAAAAATATAAAATATATATATAAATATAAAAATATATATATATATATATATATATATAAAAATATATATATATATATATATATAAAATTATTTATTTTTAAAAATTTATAACATAAATTCATCCATTTAACTACGCCAATTATATACTTGGATATTAGCTCCTATTACTGTCAAGCACTGTCTATTCTATTCTTATACTATGGATAGAATCAATTTCGGAGTATCACTTAAGAACAATCCCACCACTTAACAAAAGGGATTATTTCGTCCATTTATCTATACACAATTATATTATATATATATATATATATATATATATATATATATATATATATATATATATATATATATAATAATAATAAAGGGTGTTGCAATAACTTGAACTGCTTTTTAAATGTCAATTAAGTTTAAGTGTCTGATGATTTTTCTTTTAGATTTGGCAGACATTTAGGTGATATTATTTTTCACACATAATTGCCATGACTTAAATGACATGATCCAAGAGAGAAATAAATTTTCACCAATAACACTGATTTATATACTGCTGATTTTGATCTGTCTTAATGAAATGCCCTTATATATAATCTGTCTTAATGAAATACCCTTTTATATATATATATATATATATATATATATATGATAAAGACATTAATGTATGATATATTTAAAGGCAAAAGTGCTCAATATCAAGCATATGTAAATATAAAAGTTGACACTGAGTGGCAACATTGTTTCAGGTGTGGACATAATCTTCAGACCATGTGTATTGGCTTGACTATTTATATATGCTGGTCAGTGGGGCATTGCTGGTAGCTGGGTCAGGTATTTCCGGTTTATTGTTTTCTGTTAATGGTAATTGGGTCAGCAGTAACGGTTACATTTCAAATTATTATTCTGAGTAGAAATATTTGTATGTAAGAATGTGGTTATTAGTAGCCATTGTATGGTGCTGTTAATTTTTAAATCATTATTCATTATTGATAATTTTGGTGTTGGAAAAAAGTACCTCTATTGAAGCCTATTCTATGTTCAGTTTCCTTATCTCCTATTCTAAATTTGTTATAACTAATCCATACACTGAGGTGCCTGAAATGTTTAGTATTTACTAATTTCACATTCCGAATTTTTAATTTTTTGGTTTTGCGGCAATTTACAGTATTGTGTGAAACTATCTCTAGCACAGCTGATTCTATGTTCAATTTATTTTTCCTCTATACAAAGTTTGTTATAAGTGAACCAAACACTGATGTGCTTGAAGTGTTTAGTATTTCCTAATTTCATGAATAAGTTATATTCAGTTAGCAAGTATTCATCCAAACAAGTTTGATTAAAAAGAACCAAGGTTCTGGAAAGTGGTCAAAAGTGTTGTACCTCTTACATTTCCTACACAAAACGGATGTTGACCACTCCATGACCCAAAGCAGACTATGTAAATACATTTTCTGTGCATTGGCTCCACATAAACATCTGCTTTAACTAAAATGAAATTAATATATTATGACAAGTCAGACCTACTCCCACTCAAAAACCAAAACCTTAATTTTGAGCCAACTAAAAACTATATATACACAAATTCAAACAGACCAGACACAGACCAGCATTTTATGTCAACACCGACATGCTGAGACATGCCACAGATCAGTGCTTAATGTCAACACCAACATGCTGAGAGATTGACACTACCAAATGTTCATTTCACTTCTAATTTCACTACTTTCTTACAATAACAATCTGTAATTTACAAAATAAACTAAATATGTTGATTTTTTAAAAGCAAATGGTTGGCAGAAAGGACTTAATTTTAAAATTTATTCAATTAAAACCATCAGATACAGAACTGGATACTCTTGTATTGCCAACAAATGATATGGATTTCATGATTAAAATCTACCAATGCAAAGACTTGGATTTCAACAAAGGATATGCACAAGGTCGAATTACAGCTACACTTGAAAAAAATAATAAAACCACACTTCCGTACAGTTATATTTCTTTTTTCTTTTTATGTACCATGTCCTTTCTGCACCTCCCTCTATCCCTTGCAGCTATCAACAAGTTTCTTCCCTCTGTCACTTTCCCCAGGCCATGTTCTGTCATCTATGTGCTCAAGCCCACCAGATATGTCATGTGTTGCTTTTCCGTGCCTCTCTTTCCTTCTATTTTTGACCTGTGAGTATCAGATTCTCCAGGCCCTCCTTTCTCATTATGTGCTCCAAAGACTTCAGCTGCCTCTTCCTGATGTCAAGTATAAGCTTCCTTCTTGTTTGTATCCTCTCCAAGACTTCATCATTGCTCACACCCTTCCTTCTGTAGAACGGCATCTCCATCGCTTCGAGTCTCTTCTTCATTTTTGAGGAGACTGTCCAATATTCACTGCTGTAAAGGAGGACAGCTGTCATGTTACAGCACAGTACTCTTTTCATTGTTACCAAAGAGATCCTCCTGTCTTGCAATACTCTGTTCAACTTTTGAAATGCATTCTTGGCCATCTCAACATGTCTACAGATCTCAGTGTTGCATTTGACACCCTCTGTCAAAACACTTCCCAGATATTTAAAATTCCGCACCTGATTGATTTTAGCATCCCCGACCTGTAAATCGTATTTGGGGCTCATTTTTTTTACTGATGACCATGCCTTCTGTCTTCTTGTGGTTTATGCTTAGTCCCTTCTTCTTTCTCTCCTTTGCTACCTTCTGTAAGAGGTTTTGTAATTTCTTTTATGTGTCTGCTATCATCGCTGTGTATCTTATGTTGTTAAGATTGTGGCTACCAATGCTGAATCCTGGTAGGATTTACAGTTCTGTCAGAATTGCCTTGCTGTATAGGTTAAACAAAAACGTTCATATATCCCCTTCCAACAACATCAGCAGAAATATAATTATAGACAAACACATTTATCATCAAAAAATAAGACCCCCTCCTTGATGACGATAATATTTACAAAATTAAATGAACATAAATTCATAAAAGAAACAAAAATTTAAAATCCAAACCAAGAAATTATTAAAATCTTAAGAGAATTCCTAGCTTGAAGTTATTGAACCCCACCTGAAAACATTTTTTTTTATCGTTTTATTTTTTAATCATCACACCCCAAGCAAGGCAGGAATGAAACTAGTACATAGGGGGTTAAAGTGAAAGAAAAGATAGGAAGGATTGAGGAAAGGACAATAGATGAATGTGATTCAAGAAGACAAAATATGGTGATTGACATTGCATTTAAATCTTTGAAGATTGTAGCTATCAGGGAAGCATGGAAACAGATGTGCGTCTTACATGTGAGAAAAGAGTAGAAGTGGCAGTTGCATTTAACTTTTTCAACACTAAAAGTGTGGGACTTAGGTGCCAATCTTGTTGCATGCTTAAATTCATGTAGTCAGAGCACCAGGGAGAATATCTTATCAGGGCAGCTGCCATGAAAATATTTGTAGAAAAGACAAAGAGAAGCCATACACATTGGTGAGAAAGTGATGGAAGTTGAGATGCCAAGTTAGGATTGATTGCTTTATAGATCATTTTTGGGGATTTTGTCAAGAACTTTGCAAGTGATAAAAAAAACAATTATCTTCATTTGGTAGAGATGAAATATAATAATAATAATATCTGTGTAGTGACATCATTCTATACAGTAATTAAAGTGACAGTCCTTTAGTTGGTTTATAAGAGTCAAAACCAAGCAGTAGCTTTTTTTAGTCCGGGCCAAGACACCTGGGTTGAGGCTAAATGAATAAAAACAAAGATAGAGAAGGAGGAGATAATGGTATTTTGGGGGGAAGAGAATGACTAAAAGAAAATATTGCAAAATGCGATAAAATAAAATAAAGACAATGAATGAGAAAGAGGATAAAAAGTCGAGTAGATATGGCAAAGATAAAGATGTGGTAGAAATTTTAAATTAGTAAAGACTAAATATTCTTAGCTCTTAACACATCAGAAGACATCTCCGACATTTTCAGTTGACAGGTGCATCATGGGAATAATTTTTCAGAAAGAACAGAAAAACATTCATGATATAATGAAATAACCTGAAACCATTTTGACAATTAAATCACACGCAGTGCAAACATTATAAATCTTTTTGCAGTGAGATTGTCTCTTCAGAAACCTGGAAGAAGACAGAAATGAAGATAGAAAATGATCAAGAGTGTGAGAGAGAGAGAAAGATAAAATGAAAGAAGAGGAAGAATTCACTGTAGTGAGAATGAAGAAAAAGAGACAGGAATGAGAGAAAGACAGAAGTTTGATATTAGGAGAAAGAGAAGAGGAGGAAAGAATGAAAAAGAGAAGAGGAGGAAAGAATGAAAAAGAGAAGAGGAGGAAGGAAGAAAAGGAAGAAAGAAGAGAGAAAGAGAATAAAAAGAAAGGGGAAAGAATGAAATGAGAGAGAGGGAAGAAGGGAAGAAAGAGGATGAAAGAAGGGAAGAGGGAGGAAAGAATGAAAATGAGAGAGAGGGGGAAGGGAAGAACAGGATGAGAGAGGTGACAGAAGGGAAGAAAGAGATGAGAGAGCAGGAGAAGGGAAGAATGAGATGTGAGAGAGGCGGAAGAGAAGAATGAGATGAGAGAGTGGAGGAAGGGAAGAACAAGATGAGAGAGGCGGAAGGGAAACAAGAAAAAGAAGATAGAAAGAAATTGAGAATGAACAGATGAAGGGAAAAGAAAAAGAAGAAGGCAGAAGAAAGAGATTTGAATGTGTCCTTTTGCAAAAAGTGAGGTAGGTAGGAAAAGTGGTAATTATCTCTCTTACTATATATATATATATATATATATATATATATATATAGGGAAGTGTATGTATATATAAAAAAAGAGAAAAGAACAGTAAGATATATAATCCAGTGTTCTTATAGATATGTTTTATGAAGAGAAGAAAATAGTGCAAAGATCAATGTAAATTTAAGAGAGATATTATAAATTAATTGATTTAAAAACAAGAAATTTTTTTATACATTGAGTTCTAACCATGTTTCAAACATGGTTAGAATGTAGCAAAAAAATCTTCTTATATATTATAAATATATATATATATATATATATAATATATATATATATATATATATAGAGAGAGAAGAGAGATATAGATATTCTTATAATATTTTTATTTTTAAAAAATCTATAAAATGGGTGAGAAAACCTGGATAGCACAATTTTCAAATGTTTAAATTGGCATCATTTTTAATTCAATTAAAAATATAGAGAGAGAGAGATATAGATATAAAAAAAAAAAAAATGAAAGGACCAAGAAAAATTGGCAACAAGGGAAAAAGAAATTGTCCAGTACCTTAAATCTCTGATACAAAGGAAAAAAAACTCCAGTGAGTAATAAGTTAAAATGAAGAGTGCTCAATACACTAAGTAGAGCAAAAGTAAAATAAATAAATCCCTAATGATCCTAATGATGCAATCATCAGTGTGAACTGGCCATATATATATATATATATATATATATATATATATATATTGTGGTGTAATGGATAGTGGGTTAGTTTGAGAGATCAGAGTGAAAAGTTTAAAGTCCATTTGAATTCATTACATTCACTTACATGCTAATATTCCTGGGAAAGTTATGAATCCATCTTTGCTTCTTCCAACTATGGGTAAATAACAGGACAAACTGGGTCCTATAGCCTTGTGTGGTGAACAGTCTAGGAGAAGTTGACTTGGGGACATTGTACCACACTGTGTACACGAGTTATCTGTATTTGGCACATCCAAAAATGTGGTTGGTTCTGCACAAGCCTTCTCCACTAGAATCATATGGTATATATTCTGGCTGCTGGTTCTAAAAACTAAGCTGTTTGACACTCATACATTGAAAATGACGAAAGACTCCAGTAGTGTATATATATATATATATATATATATATATATATATTGTTATGATGTTGATTTGGGGTTAGTAGAGACAAACGCCAAATAACACGTAACAATAAAAAGGGTTTTAATAGGTTGGTAAAAAGGTACAGAAATCGCCTGAGTAGTCAATAACTAGCTCAGCTAAGAACTTCTCTGTCTATCAATCTTCATGTCAACTGACATGCCATTATTTAAAGTCTTTGTTCACAGACGCAGACAAGTTCATCTTCAAGAGGGGTGGTAGGTTTCCGACACAACATATATTTTTTTTTTTTTTTTTTAAGCATTGTGCCCCAAGCAAGGCGTGAAGCCACTAGGATGCAGGGGGGTTTGGAGGAGAGCAGATAAGAGTGATAGGAGAAAGGAAGAGGAGAAGGATAGTGGGTAGATCAAGGTAATTGGAGATGTCGATTGACATTACATTTGAATAGTTGGAGATTATAGCTTTCAGGGAAACAGTAATTGGGAGGGTGTTCCACTGGCGAGAGGTGCGAGGTATGAAGCTATTGGAGTAGAAGAGACAGCTACATTTGAAGGTTTCTCTGGTGTAAGGGTGAGAGCGGGATGCCAGCCTTGTAGGGCGCTTGAATTCATGGAGTCTGGGAACCAGAGAGAGCAGCTCATCAGAGCAGTTACCATGGAAGTATTTGTAGAAAAGACAGAGAGAGCGACGACGCATCTGTGAGAGAGTGACTGCAAGCAAGGCGCTAGATCAGGGCCAATTAGATTACATATCCTTCTCTGGATTTTGTCGAGAACTCGAGGTAAGCGGGAAGGTGCTCCAGCCCATATATGGCAGCAATACTCCATGCAAGGGTGAATGGTTGTTTTATATATTTGAAGTGTCGATTCAGGGAGAAAATTTCCTGGCGGCACAGAGAGCCAACTTTCCTGTGGGGTGGAAGAAGCAATTGACTCAATGTTTTTGTTCCATCTCAGGTCAGCAGTCAGCGTGAGACCGAGCAGGCGCGGGAGTTGCTCTCAGGAAGTTGACTATCAGACATTTTAATGGGGGCAGGGAAGGATCTCTATGGTGGTTAATGGAGTAATAATATATATATATATATATGATAAAATAAAAATAAAGAACAAGTAGGAAATGTGTTACTAAAGCTTCATGTGGTATTAAAGCTTCATCTCTCAATCTCTAACAAAGATTTAACAAAAAGTGAAACATTTCCTCCTCCTTCTTTTTCATCTTTTCAGATTCCCATCTATATCTGATCTATATTTCATCTTCAACTCATATATATATATATATATATATATATATATATATATATATATATATATATATATATATACAACATTTTTATTGTAAGAAAAATGTGATAAAATCCATTAATTCTTAAGAAATTGCTTTGTGTTTTGGGCATGAAATTGGACAGATACGGGCTTCTGAGAAAAATAATTTCAACAAGGAAATGTGTTTTCCTTAAAAAGGAAAAAAGAACCTTACTAGGCTGTTCAGTCTCTGTGAATGAATACTCTAAGGTGGTTTCTTCTACAAAAGGTGACACAGGTTCAATCCCTGCTCAAGACCATATTTTCTTTATTAAATTTTCTCAAGTGTGTAGCCCTATAGATATAAAACAACACTTTTAAAAACAAAAATGTGATGTCTATTTCATATATAATTGTGATTAGTTTATTTGTTATAGACAGAAAAAGCCATTTCATATATTCATAGAAACTGTAGAAGGTTCTACCATGAGGTATTTTGATCTTCATGGGAAACAGTATAAATCCTACTTCTTTCCAGATATATGTATTTAAGTTTAACAGCAACAATCACTGTTTAAAACTAATCAGTGAATGACTAATTTCTCTTTTATTATTTATGTTCAGTCAAGAAAAATATTATAGTCTTGAAAAACATTTTAGCTAAACCATTTCCCCCCCCAAAAAAAATCTATGTTTATAGCCATATCACTTTGAAACTATATACATACAATCACCGAAGTTAAGCAGCCAGTAAGTACCTAGATGGGTAACTGCTTTGAAATACCAGGTATTGTAAGCCTGGATGTGCAGGTGGTGTAATCAATAATGGCTTGGAATTGTTAATTAGGGAACTGCCTTCTAATTCCATTTGGGTTCATCATATTCCCTTAATGCATAAATACCATTAGGAAAGGCATGAATCCACCTCTTATCCCTCCAGCTGTGTTAATTAATAAGACTTGTATTGCTAAAACCATTATTATCTAAAAAAATTAAAAATGCACACAAAATATTTAGATTTTGGCATTAAATAACCCATAGAGGTGCTGATATGATGGTAAACAAAAACAACTAATCAAAAATGTATTTTCTATTTTCATGGTATTTTTTTCATCAGAAACCTAACAGGAAAAAATTAAAACTATTCTACTTTTTTTTTTGTCTAATAATTGCTGTTTACATTTAAAAAAAAAAAAAAAACCTACCCTGAGCTGGTATTTTGAATAATGACAATAACAAAGTTTTAATTGAAAACAAAGATACAAGGTGTTGGGGGAAGGGTACACTGAAAATTTCCCAACCAAACCAATTTTCCAAAAATCAATATTTTTATGACAAAATATCAGAGTATTAATTTTCAGCAAAACTTTGATAAATGAATGGTTTTACTACCATTAAAACAAGATTCTCTATACTTTTTTTTTTTTTTAACTTTTTGCCTGGTTCAAATTGGTTCTTCATTGGCTTAACATATGCTTACAATATTATATTGTTCAGACTGTAATCCACCTTATGTTTTATTTATGTTTTGGCCATTGTACATGCTGGCCTTCTCCAGGCGATATTTGTAGGAATTTTGAGCTGAGGCCTTTATTTAGCCCATGGTTGTATATTGTTCTAATTCCACATGTCATGCTTTTGAATATCTCAGTTTTAATTAATTCACCTTGATAACCTTCCAAGTTTTTGTTCTCTCTACTTAGACCAGGGATTGAACTCACAACGCTGAGTCAAGTTTTTTTTTTTTTGGCTCAGTGGATAAAAGCGTTGGTTGATTGAGTTTTTGTGTGCATGTTTGTGTTGAAAGGTCTTGGTATTATGAAAACACTTTATTATACAAACTTAAATCTGTAATACAAATTGAAAACTCTCCTGGTTTGTGGCTGAAGTACTCAATAGTGTTTGAGTACACTTTTTATTATATTATTTATTGGAATAGTTGACAAAAGTTAACTGAGTTAAATGTTATAAAATGGTAAATAAGGATTTCCTTAAAGTTGGTTCACATACTTTAATAATTTAGTGAATGTTTATAAATTTATGAATAAAAAATTGTTTTCACATTTATTTCTTTATAAATTGGTAAAGTTTTTGATAAATATAAAATTATTCTTGTAAATAAACAATCTAATAAATAAATAATGTTTAACATTTTTGTTGTAAATTCTCAAGAACAAAAATATTTATAAATTCACTTTCGGCATATATTTAAGTTTTATTACAATTCTAATGAATGCTTTTTAAAACAAACATTATCAAAGAGTAAAGGTAATTAAAAATGTGGTGTTAAAGTAAAAACCATCCTTTTTACACTATGTCTTACTGTGGGCACATTTACCCATGTTTGCCGTATTTTCTCTTTATTTACTTAAAATTATAGAAGATCCTATTCACACAGACTACACACACTCTCACACAGTCTGTAAACTCAGAAAGATTGGAGTGAACTGTTAATGTGTTATGGTAATTTACCCATGCATGCATGGACTCTCCTAGCTATAAATAGGAGCAGGTACTGCCTTTTGCAGAAGGAAGTTTCCAGCAGTCAGCTCTGACAGTCAGATTGAACATTCTTGCTGTAACACTCTCGTTTGTATATGTTTGTATTACTGTTTCT